ATTCCCCCCTCCCCAGCCTCGTCCCCAGCTCATGGGAGCCTCTGGGATCTGCAAAAGATGATCACGAAGGCAACGGGGAAAAACGCTTTGCTGCATTACTCCTTCTACAGCTGCTACTGCGGCTTTGGGGGCAGAGGGCAGCCCAAGGATGCCACAGACAGGTACGAGCCTGCTTCGAAACCTCCCTGCCCGGGCATGGCTTTAAATGTGGGGGGTAAAGGGGAATAAAACCACCCCCCAAAGCCTCGAGGTCCCGCATAGGTGCTGCCAGCTGCATGATGCCTGCTACGACAGCCTCCTGCGCCAGCCAGAGTGCAGCGCTACCGCTACGACTGGTCCAGCAGCAGCCCCTCCTGCAGTAAGTAGGGCCCTGGCAAAGGGGGTGTCACACACACACACCACCCCCCCCAAAGCCGGGGCTGACCCTGGGGTTCCCTCTGCCTGCAGGAAAGGGCTTGTGGTGCTCCCAGCTCTCCTGCGAGTGCGACCGCAGCCTGGCGCTTTGCCTGAAGAGAAACGTCGGGAGCTACAGGCGGCGCCACCAGTTCTACCCCAAGCACCTGTGCCGGTGATGGGAGCCGGGATGTGGGGCCAGGATCTGCACCCACACATCCCCCCGTCCCTGCCGGCGATGGGAGCCGGGATGTGGGGCCAGGATCTGCACCCACACATCCCCCCGTCCCTGCCTTCAGGAACCACATTCGTTCTGCTGTGAATTCGATCAAAGCGAAAATAAACACTGTGCTTTAACCACCCCTCTGCGGGCAGCAGAGAGCCCCGGGCAGAACAGCATCCTCCCCAGACCTCGCAGGAACTCCGTCTCGGCCCCTGCGTCACGGGGCCGCAGCCCACGGGGACGGGGGGGTTTGGCCAGCGAGGGAAGGGGCGTAGCACGAAGGCATTTTTGGGACAGACAAGTCGTTTCGGCACTTCCAGTCAGGAGCGCGCGGGCCGGAGGCGGAGGGACGCCGCTCCCCGGGACAGCCTGGCAGCGAGGAAGGGGAGCCGGAGCCATCCCCGGTGAGCAGCTCCCCCCGTGGGGTGGGCTCCTTGCTGCTGCAGAAACAAAACCACAGGGG